GGTCGCGCGCTTCGCCCACTCGGCGGCGGCGCCCCTCTCGCGGGCCTCACAGCTCACGGAACTCGGGAACGGCGTTCGGGTCGTGAGCGAGGACTTGGGCGGCCAAACCGTCACAATCGGCGTTTCCATTGACTGCGGATCGCGTTATGAAAGCGAAGACACGGCCGGCGTCTCCTCATTGGTCGTCCACTCACTGCTCAGCCAATCGGATGAGAAGGCGCTGAACGCCATGGGGGCGGAGCTAAAGGCGCGCGTCGGTCGCGACCGACTCTTTCTCGCGCTCCGGTGTCTGTCGCGTGACGTCACGAAAGGGATCGAGATTTTGGGCCAATTGGTGGCGAATCCCGACTTCGCGAACGTCGAGAGCGCGCGCGACCGCGCCTTCCGAGAGATGGCTTCTGTGGACGCGAATCCAGAAGCAGTCGTTATGAACGGATTGCACGCAATGGCCTTTCAGAACACGGGACTCGCGCTCCCACCTGTCGGCCGCTCCGAGTCGTTGGCGCGTCTGTCGCGCAAAGACTGCGAGAATTACGTGAATCTGCACTTCAAAGGACCGCGCGTTGTGGTGGCCGTCGCCGGGGATGTGGACCACGACCTCTGGTAGGCGGGATTGTCTCCCATCTCGCGCTCTAATACTCCTCTCTCTCTCTCTCTCTTAGCGTCAAAACAGTGGACAAGAGTTTGGCGAAAGTGAACGCCTTTTACGACAAATCGGAAATCCCGGCGCTCTCCAGAAGTCGTTACACGGGATCCGATCTGCGCGTGCGCGACGACGCCATGCCTTTGGCGCACATCGCGATCGCAGTGGAGGGCGCGCCACGTGACTCGTCCGACTCGCTCGCCCTCTCGCTGGCGGCCACAGTGAGTCCACTCTATGACTGTCCACTTCTATAACCCCTTCTCTCCTGCCAGCTGTTCGGTCGGTGGGACCCGTCGTTCGGCGGCGGCGCAGACTCTTCCTCTTATATGGGATTGTGTTCTGCGGCCGACGCTCTGACGCAAGGCTTCCGCGCGTTCAACATCTCGTTCGCCGACAGCGGACTCTTCGGCGCGTATTTCGCGACCGAACGCCTCAAACAGGAAGACCTCTTATGGCACGCGACGTACGAGTGGAAGCGCTTCTGCACTGAACTCACGGACAACGAGTTGCGGCGCGCGAAGAACGCGTTCTTCACTCAACTCCTGCGTCGCGAGGAGACCTCGGAGGGCGTGGCCGACGTGGCCGGCGAACACGTGTTGGCGTTCGGCCGCCGCGTGCCGCTGGACGAGTGGCGGGAGCGCGTGTTGGGGCTTTCGGCGGCGCGCGTGCGCGACGTGTGCAATGAGCACGTGTGGGACAGGTGTCCAGTGGTGTCGGCGTTCGGACCAATCGAACAGTTGGAGGACTACGAGATCGTGCGCTCGAAGTTCTATTGGTTTAGATATTAATTAGGAATCAATTCTGTCTTTATTTCAATGTATTTATGAGTCAATAAAAGTCTTTATCCGTGCAATCAATGCAATCAATGTCTATAACGCCGGTCGTCGTAGTGATGACTGCGTCGCCGGTCGTAGTCTGTGGAGCGCGCGTCTCTTCGGGGCGGCGGCGGGTCTGAGGGCGCCGTGAATTGGCGGAAGAAGTCGGGATTCGAGTTCATCACGTGATTGAACTGAGAGATGGCGTCCACGAAGTGATAGGCGGACTGCAGACGAGAGATGACGTCAGAGAGGGGGAGGAGTGG